GGGATATAGAGAGGAGTATGTGTTTGTAGTGACTACTCAGCAAGCAGTCTTTGCGAGAACTTTTTCTCTAAGTTTTATTATTGGCCTGAAGTACATGGTGTTTTTAAAATTAGATGGTTTTAATAGATCAGTTCAAATTACTTTAAAGATGGCATTGTCAAGTGCTTGGGATGCTCTGGTTTCCTTAGTTTTGTACCACTTCTATGCAACAGGGTCGGTTTTACACAGATGCTGTTCATCATGGTCATATCTGAGTTCCTGTCAAATGACACTGTTGACATATGTGGATATGTCTGCTGAAATCAGAGGAGCTGTTAGCACCTCCCTGTCTTTAGGCCTAGGAATCGTAATGGAGCTATGCTCTGTTTTCAGTTCTTTTCCCTCAGGCATCAGGGATTTGTATGGAATTGGTGTTGTTGGTCGTATATTAGTTTGCAGTCAGTGTTGTAGATCATATCTTGTGATGAAATGACTTTCATGAACAGGACGCAGTCAGAAAGATAGTCTCTGGATTTGCATGGTCTGTGGAAACTTTCCATCATGGGATCTTTTTGACCAAGAGTACTTTTTTCTATAGCTGAAGAATCCTGTCTGAAGTAGTAGCACTCTTAAGGGTTTCATAAACAGCAATTTGCGCTGTTGTGATGTTATTTGTTACTTACAGGTTGATTTTAATTTAAGATTAGGGCCAAAGCCAGGAGTTGTCACCAGATGTTTGCTGGGAGCCAGTGGGGAGACATAAGCACAACTGGTCCCGGCTGCAGCAAACGTAACTATTAAAAGGACACCTGTAACATCAGAAAAGTAATTTACAGTAATCTGGAAATGATGAATGTATGGACTGCTTTGGCCATTTCTCATCCAGGAAGCAATGTTCTGGCAAGAAGATTTGAAAAGAAGTCTTGGAAAATGATGTCACTAAATGATGTAATCCTGACTTGATTATGAGTCAGTTATGAACTAGACACCCTTGCATCACTTGATCAAATGAGAATTGGATACTTTCAGTAGAAGGCTGAGACTGTATTTCACTAGTCTTTTCCCAAGGCGTTTCCCCTTTTAAACAATATCACATCAGTCTTGCTTTTTAAGCCAAAATGTGGTTTCCTCAACTCCATTGTAACTGGAGGATAAAAACAGAGTATTGCCTGGAATACATACCTTTTAAATTACATTATCTTTTGATCCTTACGCTATTCATTCTTCTTAAAGGTGTTCTTATTTAGATTTTTTTTGAGAAGTAGTGATAATAATTCCTTATTTCCTAACCCATTCTTAGCTGAGGCCACTGTCAAATCCCCACCTCTCATTCAGTTTCCAAGCTTAGAAGCTTTGGTCACTTAGCGTGTGGGATGTGTGTTCTATAACTTTCACTAGCCCTGCTTGAGTGCTAGCTTTTTGGCATGAGGCTTTTAGATTTGTCTTTTATCTGATGGAGTGATTGATTATAGGTGAATGCAGTATTCAATGTATGAGTCCATTGTTTTTAATAATAATTTAATTATACTTTTTCTTCCCTATTCGTTTCCTAATAATTCTTAACATACTTTGACTGCTGCTAGTCATTCTGCTAAGATTAAAAAATATCCTTTTCTCAGATTGCTACTGTTGTTTTGAGTGATAAAAGCTGCAGAGATGTTTTAATCGCTCCCTTCTTGGTATTAGTTTTCTGTTGTTGACACTGAATTCAGCTTGGCATCTTATCACATGGTTACTCATATTCAAAGATTATTTTTCTATCTGTTCCTGTCAGCATTTCAGTTTTTGTCCAGATTAATTTTTGTCCTCTATTGACTTGGTCACCTCACAGTTTTCAGGATCACCTCTAATTAATTTAAACACCTTGGCTGTATGGGAAGTGCCTCTGGTAGCCTCCCTCCATTTAATAACTGTATCTTAATTTCTGTGCTTTACTTTCATGTTTTTAATGAACCCTTAATCTACAAGGGGACCTTTCCTATACAACCAATGGAATAATGAGTGTTAAGGACAAGGCTGCTGGACAGATCTAGTTAGATCTAGTTTAACTATATTGTTATACGCATATTTCTCTGAAAAATCTTATGATAGAATTACTTAGGATAGATGTACATAATGTTTAGATTTTTTCTGTGTTATCTTTCTTTAAATAACAGTTCTTCAACTAACTGACAGCCGTGTATCTATTTGTATCTGTTGCTAAACACTAGTAGTTGTGTATTAGAAGTTTTACAATATATTTGGTGATTTGTATTGTGTTTGCAAATGAGAAGATAGTACTTCAAAGTTAAAAAAGATGAGACTTCAACATAATGAAGAATGCAATGGCAAGGACCAGCAGGAGGAAGAGACTTCCCCTGATGCCTGAGGTGCCCTTGCAGAACTGCTTCATCGCTCTGCAGACTGAAGAAGAAAGACCCATCGCGCCAGGAGAGACGCTGGAGCTGAGTAAGGCAGCCTGATCTGCTCTCCATAACAATCAGCACAACTAAGAAAAGGCGACAGGTGATAGTAGTAGGCGACTCTCTTCTGAGAGGTACAGAGACACCCATTTGCTGACGTGACACACTGTCTAGAGAGGTGCGCTGCTTACTGGGGACTCATATCAGGGATGTCACTGAGAGACTACCAAGCCTCATATAGTCCACTGACTATTATCTGTTGCTGTTGTTTCACGTGGGCACCAATGTTACAGCCAGGAGCAGTCTGAGGAGTATCAAGAAGGATTACACAGCCCTGGGAGCAGCGGTAAGGGACTCTGGAGCACAGGTAATTGGTTTTTTTTATCAGTCCTCCCAGTCAAAGGGAAGGGGTTTGAAAGGGCCAGTTGAATCTGGTGAATCAACAAATGGTTACAGGACAGTGCCACAGCCTGGCATTTGGCTACTTAGACTATGGGACTCGCTTTGAGAAACCTGGTCTACTAGGGGCTGATGGAATCCATCTGTCAGGGAAGGGGAAGAGCATCTTTGGTCATAGGCTGGCCAAGCTGGTGAAGAGGGCTTTAAACTAAAGTTGCTGGGGGAGGGGATCCTCAATCCATCCCACTCTTACCAGTTTGATGCCAGTGCCAGCAATAGATGCCCAGAGCCTGGAGAAGGATCACAGGTCAGCAGGAGAGCACCTGAAGAGCAGCACAAAGGAATTCCAGCCACTCCGGCCAGCCGCCTTCATTGGGGGTCCAGCTTAAATGCCTCTGTGCAACGTGTGGGCAATAAACAAGAGGAGTTAGAGACATGCACACACCTGCAGGGCTATGATCTTACTGGCATCACGGAGATGTGGTGGGATGGCTTCTATGACTGGAGTGTTGGAATGGAAGGATACAGTCTCTTTAGCAAGGACAGGTAGGGGAGATGACGAGGGGGTGTTGCCTTCTATGTCAATGACCAGCTGGAGTGCATGGAGCTCTGCCTGGAGATGAATGAGGAGCCAACCAAGAGCTTATGGGTCAGGACTAAAAGGAGGGCAGGGACAGGTGACATTATAGTGGGGGTTGGCTACAGGCCACCCAACCAGGAAGACCAAGAGGATGAGGCCCTCTGTAGACAGATAGGAGCAGCCTCATATTCACAAGACCTGGTCCTCATGGGGAACTTCAAACACGCTGATGTCTGTTGGAGGGACAACACATTAGGGCATAAGCAGTCCGGGAGGTTCCTGACAGAGGAGCCAATGAGGAGCAGTGCTATGCTGGACCTTTTTCTTACCAGCAAGGAGGGGTTAATGGGGAACATGAAGCTTAAGGGCAGCCTTGGCTGCAGTGACCGTGAAATAGTGGAGTTCTAGATCCTTGGGGCACCGAGGAGGGTGCACAGCAAGCTCACTACCCTGGACTTCAGGAGCACAGACTTTGGCCTCTTCAGGGATCTACTTAGTAGAGTACCATGGGATAAAGCCCTGGAGGAAAGAGGGGCCCAAGAAAGCTGGTTTATATTCAAGGATCACCTTCTCCAAGCTCAGGAGTGGTGAGTCCCAACAAAGAGGAGGTCGGGCAAAAACACCCACCAGGAGGCCTGCATGGATGAACAAGCTGCTCCTGGACAAACTCAAAACAAAGAAAGGAAGCCTACGGAGGGTGGAAGCAAGGACAGGTAGCCTGGGAAGAATACAGAGAATTGTCTGAGCTGCCAGGGATCAGGTTAGGAAAGCTAAAGCCCTGATAGAATTAAATCTGGCCAGGGATGTCAAGGGCAACAAGAAAAGTTTCTGTGTAGGTATGTTGGTGATAAAAGGAAGACTAGGGAAAATGTGGACCCTCTCTGGAAGGAAATGGGAGACCTGGCTACCTGGGATATGGAGAAGGCTGAGATACTCAATGACTTTTTTGCCTCAGTCTTCACCAGCAAGTGCTCAAGCCACACTGCCCAAGTCACAGAAGGCAAAGGCAGGGACTGGGAGAATGAAGAATCACTTGCTGTAGGAGAAGATCAGGTTCGAGACCATCTGAGGAACCTGAAGGTTCACAAGTCCATGGGCCTGGTGAGGTGCATCCACAGGTCCTGAGGGAACTGGTGGATGAAGTTGCTAAGGCACTGCCCATCATATTTGAGAAGTTGTGGCAGTCCAGTGAAGTTCCCACTGACTGGAAAAGGGGAAACATAACCCCCACTTTTAAAAAGGGAAAAAAGGAAATCCTGGGGAACTACAGGCCAGTCAGTCTCAGTTCTGTCCCCAGCAAGATCCATGAAGCAGATCCTCCTGGAAACTATGGTAAGGCACAGGGAAAATAAGGGGCTGACTGGTGACAGCCAACATGGCTTCCCTAGGGGCAAATCATGCCTGACAAATTTGGTGGCCTTCTGTGACAGGGTTACAGCATTGGTATATAAGGTAGGAGCAACTGACACCATCTGCTGGACTTGTGCAAAGCATTTGACACTGTCCCACACAACGTCCTTGTCTCTAAATTGGAGAGACATGGATGTGATGGATGGACCACTCAGTGGATAAGGAATTGGCTGGATGGTCGCACTCAAAGAGTTGTGATCAATGGCTTGATGTCCAAGTGGAGACCAGCGATGAGTGGCATTCCTCAGGGGTTGGTATCGGGACCAGCGCTGTTTAACATCTGTGTCAGTGACATGGACAGTGGGATTGAGTGCACCCTCAGCAAGTTTGCTGACAGCACCAAGCTGTGTGATGCAATCGACACGCTGGAGGGGAGGGATGCCATCCACAGGGACCTTGACAGGCTCGAGAGGTGGGCCTCTGTGAACCTCATGAAGTTCAAAAAGGCCAAGTGCAAGGTTCTGCACATGGATCGGGGCAATCCCAAGCACAAATACAGACTGGGCGGAGAATGGGTTGAGAGCAGCCCTGAGGAGAAGGGGTTGGGTGTGTTGGTTGATGAGAAGCTCAACATGACCCAGCAATGTGCACTTGCAGCCAGGAAAGCCAATTGTATCTTGGGCTGTATCAAAAGAAGCGTGACAGCAGGTCAAGGGAGGTGATTCTGCCCCTCTACTCTGCTTTCATGAGACCCCACCTGGAGTACTGCATTCAGCTCTGGGGCTCCCAACATAAGACAGACATGGACCTGCTCGAGCGGGTCCAGAGGAGGGTTACGAAGATGATCAGAGGGCTGGAGCACCTCTCCTGTGAAGACAGGCTGGGAGAGTTGGGGTTGTTTAGCCTGGAGAAGACGAGGCTCCGGGGAGACCTTATAGCAGCCTTCCAGTGCCTAAAGGGGGCCTACAGGAAAGATGGAGAGGGACTGTTTACAAGTCCATGTAGTGATAGGACAAGGGGTAATAGTTTTAGACTGAAAGATTTAGATTAGATATAAGGAAGAAATTGTTTACTACGAGGGTGGTGAGACTGGGAACAGGTTGCCCAGAGAAGTTGTGGATGCCCCTTCCCTGGCGGTGTTTAAGGCCAGGTTGGATGGGGCTTTGAGCAACCTGGTCTAGTGGAAGGTGTCCCGGCCCATGACAGGGAGGTTGGAACTAGATGATCTTTTAAAGTCCCTTTCAACCCCAAATATTCTATGATTCTATAAATGTGGAAATATAGAAAATATGTATCTATATATTGGGACCTTAATCCAATGAGTGTTACACTCTTTTTTGCCTTTTTTTTGTGCAACTGATAAAGCCTGTGTATCACCTCTGGGGAGAGAGCCATCTTATTTTGTCTATTGCATTTGGTTACTATAGCAGCAAAAATACTAGGTGGAGAGAAAGGAGGAAACCCAAACAGCCCCAAAATAATAATCTGCCATGTTTACATGTATAGAAATACTAGCACAGTCAATTTTTTTTCTAGCTGAATAGAAGATTTATTAGTATTACAGCTAGATTGACATGATGTTACTGTGTCGTATTTGGTTTCAACAAAATAAACTTTTTAAGTTGCTGGTATGAATGTGGATCTTCTAAGTCGACTAATCTTTATGATCCTGTAGAGAAAGGAATGTGTTCTCTCGTGAGTATTGCATTTTCAATACGGGCTACTGGTGTAATCATTTTTTGGTGTTGTTCAGTGTTTTTTTTTTTTTAATAAGCCAAATATTAGTCATGTAATTCTTTTAGCTGGTAAATGTGATTTCTGTAGACATACTAGCACTGTTTAAGTAGAGCAGGGAGTTGCTTGACAGGAGATACTATATAGAGTGTTATTTTCAAGTATTTTAAAAAGATTTACAAGGCACTGGAGCTCCCAATGTACACACTGCAATTCTGCTTGTGTGTGCACACACCTAGGGGAGGCAGTAAGAAAACTATCCTGAAAATAGACAAGAAACAGCACTATGAAGACAGAATGGGATGTCTTGAATAACAGATATTATCAAACATCTTTGGTAATTGTGATTCTGAACTGATGTTTCTGAATGCATAGAGTTAATGCTATGGTCACTTATTTTTAAAGATTAATCTGTAAACACTATTATGACAGTGTTAACTCCATTAACATGCTGGGATATTTCAGGTAATTCTGCATATTCTGCATATTTTTGCTTTTAAAAACAGACTGAGAATATTAATTAGCTGTTAAGAGACTTGAATACTTGAGTTTCGTTGTGTTCTGATTTCATGCAAATCTATTTTATCCTTGAAATACTACATAGGAGTACTTAAATTAATTTTCAGTATTGTTTGGTGGTTTCTGTTACATCTCATGTACAGAAAGTTTGAATCACCAGTGTTTGTTGCCAAAGGCTTTTTTTAGGAGAATAAGAATGTATTTTCTCTTTCAGTGTATTTACTGTCTCTTTTGCTGGCTATGTGAGTTCTTCCACATGGCAACAACCTCATGGTTTTAAAAAAAACATTTTTCTCATTGTGAATTTGTTCTTTTCCCAGTTAAGTTCATCATTAATCTTGGTACTACTAGAAAAGGAAAGCTTGATTTATTGGCAGCGATCATTTTCAGTAGCAAATGGAAGGGGAATTGTTAAATGGCCAAATTATAAATGCTTAGAAATTATGCATTTATTGTTCTGTATTGGATTATGATTTTCTGATAGTGATGGTCTTGTTAAACGTATAAAGCTTATCTTCTTCTGTAGTTCTTCTAAATATATTTTTTTTAAAACTGCAGTATGTTTAACCTACTGTGAAACAGTATTGTGTGGAATAGTGAAAATCTGTTCAATCTGAGTTTGCCTGCCCTGATTGGTAGACTAAAGCCATTCCTTTGGGGTTATTTCTCTTTCCATATGAATGTTTTCGTTGGAAAAATTAATTCCAACTTGTTGAAACTTAAATTTTATTTTTCATTTTTGTCTTTCCTGAGAAAGCAAGCTCTCTGTGAAATAGCTACTCTATAAAATGAATAAATGTAATCTAATCAGATTATCTATAGTCTGGAAAGCCTACAGATTTTCTGAATATGTATGTTACGGGCTCTATCCTCCTACCTCCACCTCCTCCTTTCCCCCTTCTTGTCCCAGTGAGTATCTGGAAGATAACATATATTGTGTGACTGTCCTACAGTATAAAAACTTAATAGTTTGTGGTGTGGACATTGTAAAGAATCTAAAACTCAAGGGAAGAAGAGAAAGTAAGTTTGTGTCTTCTGAGGCCAAACATTTTCCTTGGATGTGTTTTGTTTTCATACTTCTGCAACTCATTTCTAGTGGCCCTCTTAATGATATAAAATTTAATACTTCAGATTCATTTTGAGGAGGCAATGTAGAAGACTGTCATATCTCTGTTAGCTTTCCTCCCTCCTTGAAATACCTGCTTTCTGTTTAGTTGCCTCGAGCAGGGAAATAGAACCTTTTTGATACGTAAATACTAGGAAAAGGCAAGTAAGATGGTTTTGCAAGTAAAATGGAGGTACATTGTCAGTCTGCATTTTCTACCTGTTTTGAAAGTTTTTATAGGGTGGAAAGGGAACAAGTGAGAACAGAATCAAAAGCAAGTTAATAAGACTGGCTGATCAACAGAAATAGCTTAGTCCAGTAGCATTATATACAGGAAGTGTCTTAATCTGCTCTTTGCTGAAACTGGATATTCCTAAAGCTGATTAAATGCTGAAGTAGGATACCTGGTCCATAAGAAGTAAGGCGAATTGACTCAAACCGATGTGATGAAGCTCTCGTGCATTAAAGGCTGGCCAGGGATTTTAGGATCTTGCTGTAGTTTGTTCTCATATCTTGGACCTGAACTTATATATAAAAGCTAGAAAGAAGGGATTTATGCCAGATAAGCAAGGCATAAAGGAAATGGGATCAAAGTCATGTTACTTCCTTGCAAGCTTAATTGAAACTGTGTGGTCACAAATGGAAAAATGTGCTTTCCCTGACACCAAATCAACTAGAAAAGCTTTTGGACAGGTAATTGTTCAGGTTGTAACTGAGGAAGAGCAGTTGTGGCAAACAGCTTGTCCTCAGTTAAACCCTACAATCATAACTCTCCTACTCTGCTGACTGATAACTGCTCAGAATTACTCTGTTCTCTGTTGTGTTCAGAATTGGATTGAATTTCAGTGGTAGCAACAGTAATGTTTGGCATGGCTTGTGTGTCTTTTTTTTTTTTTTTTTTATTTAAATAAATGGCTTTGATGACTTATTGAGATGGGAAAAGGAAAATCATCAGTTGTTAATGGTTTGTTTTGGTTTTTTCTGATGTGACTGTATTGCTAATTGTTCCTAAAATATAATTTGCTAAACTGTTGTTAATGATTTTTGAAAATACCACCTGTGGGTTTAATTCACAAGTTGGCGTTGAGCTTGGCTGCTGAGGCTTCTCTTCAGAACCTGCATATGGGATTCCACAAGATTTGTACTTCTGTTTATCCTCTAATTTCTTCATCTGGGCAGCTATACTGAATTCTTACTTGTTGAACAGGTTCTTATGGTAGGATTGATCTCACCTACGCTTTAAATGGGTATCTGCATTTGAGCTAGTTATCAAGATTTTTTGAGTCTTAGTATGACTCAGAAGTTATTTATTTCTAACAATATCTGCCATGAATTGCACCATTTCACTTAAAAGGTATTTTAATAATTCATATTGTAGTATGAATCATATTTTGGGCAGATTCAAGATCTAACATTAAGTTAGTGAAAGATCTAACAGTAGGCTAGTCTCACTTTGATTTTAAATAAGCAGCCTATTATTGCAAAGTGCTGACTCCTGTCCTTCCCTCCCCAGTGCTGGCTCTTCCACATGTTGGCAGGCAAGCCTCTAAACTGGGCACAATTTAGTTTCTCTGCATTAGCCTTATCTTCTCTGAGTGCTCTTTGTTATATCTTGATTCTCTGTTGGATTTGCAGACAATTTGGCAGGTTTCTTCCTCCTGATACATTGACAAATACCAATCATCAGATGCCACTGGCAGCATCTGCTTGAGAAATACCTGAAATCAAAATAAGTGGGGTGGTGCAAAGAAAGTTGCAGATGCATGGGAAATGTTTGCCTCGCCTGTCATTCATTTGCTCACTGTGAATCTTAAATATAAAAAGGCAAAGCTGACTGTTTGAAACAATGTGCTTTAGATTATCTGTTTTTCTTTGTTTTCTAGACAGAATTCATCTATGTCCAAGCAACAATTAAACCAAAGACCTTCAAGCATGGTCAGTGAAACGTCCACTGCAGTAACTACATCTGCTGTTGATACAAAACCTGGCCCTAAGGTAAAGGAAAAAAAGCTATTGTTTCAGCTTGATGATTGGAACTTCACTCACTTTAAATGCAATACTCTTTTAATGCTGATTTTAATAGGGCCACAGGTTTAGCCTAGAAGTCTAATAACTTACCTCAAATAAGAGGTAATATCTTCTACCCAAGCAAAAACCTTTTCACAGCATAGGAGCAGTGTGTAACCCACATGACAGTGTTGAATGATGATTTGAAAAACAGTGATTATTGTGACATGCAAAGTTTGAGAGGCTTCATAAGAATGGAAGTAAGCGTATGTAATACTAGTATTCCAGCAAGTCTTTTGATAGTCCAGTGTATATGGCAAAGTGCTGCAGAATACCAGGAGTTGTAATTTGCAGTTCTTACTTTTCCATGAAACCTTACTGCTGTTCTTCTCTCAGTAACAACTTAGATCCTTTTCTGCCATCACTGTGGTGCACAAATAGTGCAGACACCAAGTTTACACACACAGTGTTTAATGGTACAAAAATCCATTATTTGGCATTGACAAAGGGCCTGTGTTTATTATCGCTCAAAATATAATAAAGCACTGTACTTGAAGTGTCACCAGCTATTTTAATGCTTCTTTGACCTTACAATTAATTACAGTACAGTGAGAATGGGAGGGGGTGGATAAAAAGAAGCAAAAAAACCACTGGAAGAATTAGCAGAGATAAGACAGATTTCTTAACTTTGCCTGCAGTTTTTAAACTTCAGAGGGTTTTTTTTTTTTTAAATGCAAAAGTGTGAAGCCTGTTAAGTAATTGAGTTGAAGAAAGGACTTTGCCAAATTGGTTGCAAAGATATTTTTGTTGAGTGGGAATCACTTAAATATTTTTCTAATGTTTTGAATTGCTTGGGTGAATATTGGAGAAGATGATAACAATTTCTTGAAAAGCTAAAAAAAAGAAAAAAAATTTAAAATTGTTTTTTTAGATCCAAAGCGTATAGGTTATTGGACCAACACAAAGATTGTCATGTGTCAGATCTAAGAACACATTTATCTTTAAAGTGCTAGACAAAGTTATCACTGAAAACAGTAAACTTAGTAGGTTAACTGAACAACTTGATACATTTCTTTTTGATACTGTAACAGTTGAACTTACCAAAGTATTTGGGCATTTGTGTTTACTGTATCTATCCTCCTTATTCTGATTTTTTTAAGCCAGCATTAGAGGGAGAAGCCTCATTTTTTCACACTTAAAACCAGCAAACCTAATAGGGACCTGATTCTCTGCTTTGAGCTGGGGATTTCTCCAGTGACACAGTTGACTTTAACTTACCCAGGATCACACTTCTTCCAAAAAGCGTGCATCCTCTGTCACCTGCTCCTGCTGCTTCCCGTTGGCACGTGTTTGCGTTGATCGAATCAGGCTTTGCAAAACAGTGAGGTCAAAAATGGTGACTGGATCCAACTTACAGGGCCACCCACATGGTAGAGGCTAGTTCACTGGGGACATCAGAACCACACAGCTACAAGTGAGGGTAATGCTCTTTCCATCACAGCTTGGAGAATATCCAGAATCACCTCCCAAAACTTCAGTTGGTCTGGTTTTGGTCTCTGTTTCTATTTTGTTTGTAGTCCAGTACAAGTGTGGCCACGCATGCTTCTGGCAGGCTCCCACGTGGGGCATTTTTTTTAATACATGGCAGCTTTAGACTTTGAATAGTGCTCTCATAGAGGGCTTGCCTGTACTTTTCTTCTCCACCAAGTTTGTTTATATAAGATCCATCCTGCTGTGGGCCCTCAATAAATACTTTACTGGAGTTTTGATTAAGACAGAGAACCAACGTCTGTCTTAGATATGCTTTGTTTCATCATTGCATGTGTGTCCAGGCTTGAAATTGCTCCTCTTGTTCTGTAGAGTCAGAAGGAGATCTGTTAAATTCCTTCACAGCCTAACACAAAATTAATTCAAGTGAACTAGCCGTGAGAACAAATGCTGTAAAGTGTGTCCTCCATTTTGAGGCTGACTTTTGGCACATCGAGAGTAGATTTTAAGATCCTTTCATCTATTTCTAAATGTTTTCTTCCATGAATTCCTTAATCATGCTTTCGAAGAGTGAGTTCCCAGACGCAGACTTGAGACACAGTCATGAAGCCAGAGACACGCTCTGTTTGTCATGGCAAAGACCTCTAGCTACCCATAGCTAATTATTATCTTTTATGAAATGCTTTCATAATTTTGTCCTGCAAACACAATCGCAGAACTGTGCAGGTATAGTGTTGGAATCCTGGCCAAATTCAAACCGATTTTTATATAGAGCTACCTGCATTGAAGTAGTACCGAATCAGAAAGTGCAGGAGCAAGTACGTGGCTTTCCGCTTGATTCTTCTGCAGAAAGTTGACAGCTAAGAATTGCTACATTTAGGGCGGAGGGGGAGGGTAAGCTGCCAACTGTACAGCAGATTTGTCATTCTCAGTTCAAGATGAAAGAGATGAAGACTTCTGGCTTGCTTGTTGCAGTGTTCAAGTCTGAACTTGGATTGAATAAAACTTCTGAAATAAAAAGTAATTGTTTGAAAGAGAATTTCACGTGTTCTGTCCAACAATGTCGATTGCACAGTGTACAACAAGAGGAGCATGTTGGAAAGAAGAAAAAGAAAAAAGCCAAAATGAGGCTTATACTTATCAAAATGTCATTATGTTTTATTGATGTGCATATAAATATATAAGGCTTCATTTTGTAAGGCACCTGAGATGGGCAGTTTTGCAGAAATGCACATAGATTCTTGGGGTGGGCCCCACTGTTTTGATGCTGGCACTGTCTGAATAAGTCATCTGAAGACTTTAGACCAATGCAGTCCACCCTTCCTTTTGGAATTTGAGGGGTATGGAGTTGAGAGAATAAAAAGCAGAAGGGCATGCCGACAAACAACAGTCGTTCTCTGTCCCAAGGATCTGCTTGTTCGTAGCCAATTCAATTACGTTATTAACCATATTAAAAGCCATTTATATTGATTACAAATGAAGGATATGGAGGAATGAAGGTCTGTTTCAGTTTGAGAGTAAGGTGCATTTGGAATTTAGTCTGTTCTGTTAAAGCATCTGATGGTGTGAATGGAAGCTTGTAAATGTTACTGTGCTACACAGTACATTGGCCAAGTCGAAAGCATAAAGGATAGTAATGTAATGTATTTATTATTGCCTACGTTTTGAGAGTGTGTTTTGGATGGATTCTGAGCAAGAGAAGTAATTGAATTGTTGATGACGCTGATAGTTGCTCATATTTTTCCAGGATGAACTGGTGAGGATTACAAGTAAATAAAGGACATGTCCAGCAGTTGAGAGAAACAGGCAGCGGTGACAGATATGCAATGGTACCAGCTCTGTAGGACTCTGTGGGGCTGGAGTGGAGAGCACAGGGATTAGTTCAGGGCCACTGTAGATGAATACTCAAGAGCAGGAATTTCTGAGAGTTTCAGTTTTTTCCTATCTGAAAAATAAGGATTTTGTCTAATTTACTTAGAGAAACTGAAAGGCTTCATGAGTTCATTTGTTAGTGAAACATTGAGAAATTTTGAATGGAAGAGTTTATGACTTAAATGGGGAAGGGGGGGTGGTTGTGGGCTGTTTGGTTTTTGGTTTTTTTTTTAATTCCCTGCAGATTGACAGTTAAGTTATATGTTCTTTTATGTGTGTGTGTGTGTATATATGCATATTTTTATCAAGATGCAGTCTTCCTTTTGCTATTTAGAAAATCTGTTCCAAATGAAAGGCTGTTTACATTTTTTTTGACTGTCCAGTTTTAGGAAAAAAAATAAATTACATTTTATAATTAAGTTAGCAACATTGTCCTGAGCTAGAGGCTACTGTAAGGAAGAAGATAACACAGTGATGAAAAGGGATTTGAAAATTTTGGCTCTTGACATTTTGGTTTTTTTTCAAAAACTTATGAGTCATTCACAAACAAGCCAACATAACAAATGTACTGAAGTCAAAAGTGACTGCTTTGTCTTCAGTGACACAGGCAGCTGCTCTGACCTGCATTTTTCAACACATGACAACGACATCAGAGTATTTTAAGTTAGGAAAAAAATACTGCACTACAGACAAATAATTTTAAAAATATACCTTTTCCTTTAAACTAACTTTTTATTCTAGCCAGTGGAAGCAAAGCCTGACATTCAGTATCTTTTATGCTTTGTTTTATTCCATAGCAGAATGAGATGATTAATACTACAGGTGATATGAAAATTTTAATTGCATAAAGCACCATAAAATGACGTTTTGCTTTTATTATGGGTATTGTATTGATACAGAATACACGGTCCTAGGAAAACTTTTCCTCCTCCCATGTAATAGAAATTGTTTGGTCTTTTGACCAAGTCCAAGGATGGCTTTTCTACATTGTGGTCTGCATTTTTTTAAAATTAAATAAGGTCAGAGAATCAAAGTGCTTGATCACTGACAGGGTATCTGATGAAAAAATCAAATTTAAACCCTGCTGTCAGGCTAGATCAGCTCTAACTGTTCCTCTGTTCATCCACCCTTCCTAAGATAAATATGAGAAAGAAAAATTAGGAATCTAAATTCTGTACATTTTGTAAATTGATTTCTGTTCAGGTGCAAAGCATAGATTTTTGACTGTCAGAGGCTTAAACAGTTTGGGCCTCGTTATTTTTCATCATCCTTGTAATGTAGCTGTTGCATCTAATATTTGACAACAGTTTTTTAAAATCTTGACTGAACTGATTACTTCTCATTTTTCTTGAGAGAAACTATATATGGCTTGGCCTGGTGATCATACGGTCATCCAGAGCTTGGCTGTCCTCATGGTACAGCTTTGTGTGTTCATTTAAAGTGATATTTGGACACCGGTTCATAGAATCATAGAATGCTTTGGGTTGGAAGGGACCTTTAGAGGTTCACAAGCTATCTTTTGAAAAAGTTTCAATAGCAAACCCAAAATGCCTAACTTCTTATTTCTTCCTTCCTTTAGTCTCAGAGTTGCTGCTTGTAGGTCTGTGAGTGAGTACCGAGAGAGATTCTGTGGCTGTAATGGGCACGCTGTGTTTGCACAAAGCTAGCGCTCCGCAGCCCCTTAGCTGAGTGCCTTAGCACAGCCATGGCAGAGACATGGGCTGGGAGATCTCCGTGACACCATCCTCACCTGGTTTTACTGTGAACTGGTTATTGCCAGCTGAATGGCAGGGGCACCTGCTCAGAAAACTGTTGCTGTTTACAACCTGGCCTGCTAGGTTTGTGCTAGCCCTAAACAGTTGGGCTGCTCCGGTGGTCTCTTGTGCTGCCCTGGGCTGCGGGTCGATCTTGTGCAGACTCTCACTGAAGTGTCACACCTAGGGAAAAGCCCGTATTTGGCATTCTTCCCGTCTCTTAAGTGTCAGGGTGTTTCACAGAAGTGATCGTGGCGTGCAGCCTACCTGACGTGCTGAAAGCAGCATGCTGCTTCCTGGTAAACAGACCTCAGGGAAACTACCTAGTGAAATCTGCCCTTTGATATCTCCTTATGAGTGTTAAATCTACATTGCTATTTTACACGCTATAGCACCAAAGAAAAAATGGATTTTTTTCCCTTACTGATTATTGCTGTTATCTTAATCCTGCATTAAGATGTGTGCTTATGTCTACTGAAATGTGTGAAGTTTTGTGCAGGTTGGTAAAGCCTGGCCTCAAAATTAACAGAATCCATTTAATGTTATCAAATAGTGCTAGAATATTTTATTTTTATGTATTCTGTCTCCTAGTTCAGATATTGCCTGACTGCCAGAAGCAGTACTGAGATATTTTGATGATATCATCCCTTGCGTATGAGAAATTGTGTTCATTTCCAGAGCTGCTGTTTGTCTGCAGCTGACGGAGCATCAATACCCTGGCTAGCTGAGAGGAGAGGTTCAAACAAAGGAGACATTGTAGGAAAGAGGCAGAGAGTGAATCTGGACAGCTCTTTCCTTGGAGAAGTCAGGAGCAACTGTAAGGGTGGTTTGTGCACCTCAGGTTCCTAAAGCAACTGCAGCAGCAAACTGTGCTGAGATTGGAAAAGAACAGGCAGATTATTCATCCAGAGATTCTCACTGTCTCTTTCACAGACTGATAGGCTTTCCTTGTTTGTTTTTGAAACAGTTTTGTCCATTTCAAGCAAAACTGAGGTTGCAGTAAAACACAAACCATTACCTAGGTCTTGTGATTTCCACTTCCTGCCCTCTAGGTCTCTTCCTTAGCAGTGTCACTCTATGTCTTCTCCTTTTGTTTGCAGGGTCAAAGTCCAAGCATTTTATTAAGCTATCAATGTTGTTGGAATTTAAACAGGAAAGAAAACTAAAAACAACAACAAAAAAAGAATCCCCCAGGCAACAAACAGCGGCAGGAGGATTCACGTGCATAAAGTCCTGTGCATGCAAGAGACTTGTACCATGTTGCAGAGAGAGACTTGCATGCAGCTCTTGTAGTACACTCAGAAATACTTCCCAAGCACAATAAAACTTCAGCAGTTCTGCCTTTCAGACTTCAGTCACCAGTGCTGCTGCTGTTCAGCTGGGAGTTGGCAGACTGTCCTGGCACTGATATGTTGATGAAAGTGGAAGATTGACTTTGCTATGTTGTAAATGTCATTATCTATTTACTTGCCCTTGAAAATGCTATAAATTGTTACTGTGTAATGAAGCATGAATTATTGCAGTGAAGTTATTTGTAATATGAAATGAGTCTTAGTACAGTTTAAAAACCACTGCTACATTATACTTCTTTACAGGTTGTAAAGGCTGGAAACAAAGTTCATAGTTTTGGAAAGAGGGAACAAGCTATCAGGAGGAATCCCAATGTTCCTGTCATAGTAAGGGGCTGGCTACACAAACAGGTATGCACGTAATCATCTGTTCCTGTTTGTATACTTCAGTACAATCATCAAATAAAAGTAAGTGCCTTCCAAGTAACTGAGAAAACAGAAGCTGGAACGTGGGTGATGCAGGGCAATGCTGGGTACTCCCACAAGCTTCCGTAATGAGGGGCTTGTGCTCAGCAAGTGTGAAAAACAAGTTTTACGTAAAGGTTTGATTCAGAAGTGGAAACAATGATAAATGGACATCACCATCGTGGTTACATGTTGAGGCTATAACTTTATTGTCTAAATCTGGTTATTTTCCCTGTTTTATCGTGCTGGCTTGCTGCCATGCTGATCTCAGTCTCCCTCAGAACACACTATAAACCCAGGTTGGCTGTGAAGGCCTTATTCCATCTGCTTGCTTATGCCCTTATACCCTGATCAAAGGCTTAATTGCAGCCCATATGCCTTCTGTTCTCCAGAAGCAGGAGGGAGAAAATGAAGGGAGACAGAGACCCATTCACTACACATGGCCGTCACCAAGACCAGTGTCCAAGCAAAAGCTGGATTATAGGATTTCATCCAACAAACAGAATTTTACAGCTGCTGCATCTTGAACTCTTAAGCTGACAGAAGCACATCCTTGAGTGCAAAAAGTAAAGCTGTTCGTTGGATGAGAATACTTCCCTGCTTCTAATTTGGCAGTCAGCGACCATCAGATTATCACCAAAGATCCAGCAGCTAGGTTTAGAGATGAGCAGAAGGCTGAAATCTAAGGCTTACAGTTATGACTCTACATACACAGCAAGGTGAAATTGCTGACAGCCATCCGCATCCTCCTGCATGGAGAGCTGTATTCTGCTATCAGCTCTGTTGACATTCACTACCCAAGTCCATTAGTTTTCAGGACAGAATCAGAACTCAGACACAGTATGTGTTGACAGCATTGTAGCATGAAAAAGGAAAGGCAAGAAAGTACTTGCATGCTTAATATGACTGCAGAAAGAAGAAGGGAAATAGTATATACAACATTCCTCTAGTTATTTCCTTCTGTCCCCTTTCGTCTACTTGCAGGCACTTAAAGCCTGGAGATGCTTTCTGTGCTGCTGGTCTCATCAAAGCGTACCTCAGCTGAATAAATTGTACTTGCTTAGGTTACAGTCTGGCAATTTTACAAGCTTCTAAAATTAATTTCAATGTAAATATTAATCATTTTGACAAGGTGATACGTTTTTTTTTTTATATATATATATATGTATACCTTCATAGGCATATTGTATTATATTTCATTAAAATTTGCACGTTATGCACCCTGTTTTATTTCCTAAGGAATATTTGATGAAATTACATTTTAGGCATGGGTAGCATATGGGAGATTGACTGAGAATTACAGGGGATCATTGTCTGAAATGTGAGGTCATACTTCACAGCTGTGTAGTGATTTTCATCTTGGTCTACAGGCAATCCTTGTTGGCTTTCGTGCCATCCAAATGTGTACTTTGCTTCTTTATTGCAGGATAAATCTGTCTAGATAAATATGCATCGGTTGTTATAAGGTTAATCTGAATGCTGTTTGGGATGCGAGTTTAATTATTAATGAAAATTAGCAGTTTGAATATTCTACCCTGATTATTTTCTAGCTGGATGTTTTGCCTCTTATCTTTCATACTACAAAATATTTTGCTGAAATATAAACCACTTGTTTTTGCAATCAGTACCATATTTAGGTAAACTTCTGGTAAACTACCCACTGGTACAGCATTGCATGATAAGCTGTTAACCTTCCTTAAATGAAAAGTGTATCACATTTCTTGCATTTTAGGATAGCTCTGGAATGCGATTATGGAAAAGACGATGGTTTGTGCTTGCTGATTATTGTTTGTTTTACTACAAAGGTGAGTAAATACTAGCTTTTTTGAGTTAGTCTGTAACAGTTCACCTGTTCAAATCATATTGCAAGCATAAACTAATTGAACTCTTCAGATATAGTTAGGTATTCTGAGAAGATGCATCGTGAAACAGTTACTTATCTGTATGCCTTTAACATGCAGCAAATTTCAGGCCAGAGTTGGGGAACAAGAGGGTGCTGTATGATCTTTTGTCACATACCTTATCTTTGATATATGCTAAGGTTTACGTTGCAAAACATCTGGCAGCGATACCAGATTAAGATTTATCCCATCTCTGGTCTGTGTTATGTTTCCTACTTGCTTGCGCTTGGACAGCTGATTTTTTGAGAATGCACTATGGCCAGATCAGGGCATTGATTCAGCTTTAATCCAAGGGGCAATGTAGGAGTGCGAACTTCTGAATCCAGTGTTTCTACCAAAAAAGGTTAGATGTGATCTTAGCCTGAACTAGCAATAATGGTATTACATAAGGTTATTTTGAAGTTTTTAATATTGTGTAGTGTGTTACAATTTTTGGAAAGCCTTACAGAATATAAACTCAAATTCATATTTCTAGGTGCTGCATTTCTGCTGCTGATCACTTTAGAGCCAGCAGTAATAGAGGTTTCCTAATTATAGCAATCAGCCTAGATGTAGAGTGCTAAATGGAAGGTCTGTCATGTTATCCAGCCTGTCAGAGTTAATTTGTCACAATAAGCTTTATTCTCAAAGTGTATTCTTCTGTCTGAACCTAAAAAATAACAACCCCCCCCCCCCAAAAAAAACCTTAACAAAACCACAGACTGATCTTTTTAAAAAATTCAGTCTTGTTTCTTTAAAAATAAAACATTGTTCTCCATCTATTATTGGTGTTGAGTCATAAGAAAATTCAGGTCAGAAGGGACTTCAGGAACTGTCTAGTCCAGCTGCCTGGTGAAAGCAGGGTCAGGAAAGAAGTCAGCCCAGGTTGCTCAGGGCTTAGGTTAGTCAGGTGTTGAAAACCTCCAAGGATGGAGATGGCACAACCTCCCTGGCTGGCCTGTTCTGCTGCTGCTCTGTCCTCGTGGGGAAAATTCTTTTCCTTATATCCAGCCTGAACTGCTCTTCTTTCTACTTAATGCTTGTTGTCTGTGTGTCCATAAAGGAGAATGTATTGTTACCCCACTGAAAAGTGCAGTGAACTAGATTCTAATTTTTTTATTCAACAGACAGCAGAGAAGAATCTGTTTTGGGTAGCATACCATTGCCTAGTTACGTAATATCTCCAGTTGGACCTGAAGATCGCATAAATCGCAAATTTTCTTTTAAGGTACAGTTACAAAGCTTATTAGCTAATAATATTTTAAAATGTTTATTTGCATTAGAGAAGATGCTGTTGCAAACAGAAACATCATCTGCTTTCCTATTTTTTTTTTTAAAGTAGATGGGTTTATTGATTGCCTCTTCAAATGTGACTTAGCACTTTTTTGTTGCTTATGAATTGACATTCATATGTCTGTTACTATTTAAGTGTCTTTAGAGCTTAATAACGTGTCTGTGAGTAAAGATCCTGTTTCTAAAATTAGAAATGAGTATTGATAAGTTGTTCCAGTGCTGTTTACAAACTGAAAGAAAAGTTGTCATTTTTTCTTTTCAGAGTACTTGATCTCATAGTGGACTGATGGTCTTTCTGTTTTGTTGTGTTCTTTTTTTAAATAAAATAATCAGCTCAGTTCTCGGAGTTAGAAGATGACAACACTGTAGCTTTTGATGTATAATTTCCTCATTTCAAGGGGAAAAAGAGTAACCAGTTTTTTTCTCCTTTTTTGGGGGGGAGCAATAGTCATCCTAAGTGACATGGAGTTTTTTGAAGAAAAAATACTCTTGTTTTGATATAGTTTGAGGCTGGGTTTGTGGGTTTTTTTCTTTTTAAAAGAAATTTAATTTATAATTTACGGTTCTATTCTTTGTTCTAAAAACCTACGAAAATGAAATAAACCATGCATTCCTTCTTGACAGTGGAGAAACCTGACTTCAGTTGGTTGTCTGAGCTGCAGCACTAAGGCAAAGTTTAGAAACTTCAGTGTATGTTGCACTCCTACTGATACTTGGAGCAGAACCTGGTTTTTTATCAAGCAAACGAGCTATGTACTTTGAAGAAAATAAATTTAGAAATCAGGTTTTGATCAGGTATACTTCAGGAGATCTAGAAGGAAACTTTCTGTTTAAATCTTTTCTGTGATGAAATGATGAAGAACGTGTGCTCAGCTTAGACTTTCTCTTGCATTTTGATTTTTGGGTTGTTTTAAAATTGTAGACTGCCTTTTGTTGCTTTGGGTTCTATTTTCAAGTGGATAATGGTTTGAAATTTATTAAACAAATATTAACTTGGGAAATGTGTTTAAAAAAAGACCCAGTGCACTTTGTGGAAGTGTTTATTGTACTTTTTCAAATGCATTGAACACGAGATAGCAGGACAAGCTACAAAGGAATCTTTGTTTAAGAAAAACATTCCACTCCAGTATTTAATGAGTGTAATTCATCAAGCCTTCCTCTTCTAGAGCCTTTTCTTAGGAAGAAACACATATTGAAAGAGGAGGACCCAATGTACTTCTAGGCTTCTACTTCTCTTTAATAACTATTAGTGCAGACTGGGGAAGGGGATAAAGAAAGTAGCGATAGTATCTAGTTGCTTTAGAGTTTAAAAAAAAACAAACTGCTTTTGTTTTATTGAAAGGATGTTTGTAAATGTTAATTGAATGTATATTAAGATTATTAACCTGTTTAACACTATCAGTGATAAGGGGGGACACCACACCACCACCACCACCCCCTGCCCCGTGTGTGTATAATACTACACATACACATGTAGTTTCCAAGCAGTATGTTCTACAGGCAAGCTCTCAAGTCACTACTGCCAAGTTGTGCCTCTCCCTTCCTGTGGAGTAGAATCCATGGTTGTGATCATGGTTAAGCATTTTCAGAAGCAATTGCAGACTTCCCCTGCTCCTTTTAGGGTATCATACCTATATGAGCTCTACCAAGTCTTTAATCTGAGTCTTTTTCTGAAAATCAGCATGAGCCAGTAACCTGAGACTTTCAACATAGGGTCATTACTAAAAAGTTGATCTAGAAATAGGGATTTGAGAGCACAAGAAACTGTATGCTAGAAATCTACATAAAAAATCCACAACATATATTTCATGCATTAGTTTGTTGGGCCGATCTTAACTCTGCCTTAGGTGTTTGATGATTGAGTGCAGACTTGCTGCTGCAGTTTCATTTTATTTAGAACCAACTCCTAGTAGGAGCATTTTGTAAGATTCCTGTCGCATGGACCCCATCCAGTGCTGACGTTCAGTGGTCACGGAGTTGGCTGTGGGCACGCAGTGGCAGGAGCATGGCCGTGCTGGCATTCCATCACTCACCGGCCATTACCTTTATCTAATCTCTTCAGTACACTTCAATATCCAGAGTGTAGACAGACATTCCGTCTCATGACGTAGTGCAGCCAGAAATAGAAAACACAAGCAGATTAAGCCCAAAATAAAGATAGGACTTTTTCACATTTAAGTCCTGAATGAGTGGGAGAATGTGCCATGTCACTTTTTATATTTGGCCTGTCATTTTTTCAGATTGTTGTAAATCCTCTGTTACAATAGAGGTATTTGCTCTCATTTTAAATGGCTGTTTTACATAACAATGAGTTTTTGAAGCCAGGGAAGCAGTCAAAATGTGAAAAATGTCAACATTTTGGTTTGTAAATCTAAAGGAAGGAAATTTACATAGCAAATACGTGGATGCTTTTTGCATATGATTCAGTTAGCAGAAGGTTTCTAAAATGCATACATGGTCACTAGGATATACGTTAAACCCTGCTAACTTTAAAATTTACACCGTAGGAGTTCTCAAAATTCTTTTCCTTTCATAATCTCCTAAGGCCCAGCTTTAAGCTTTTGTGTCTCTTTGGGTGTTTAACAATTACAGGTCTGCACAACTGTGTACGTGCTGTTCAAATGCAATCAAAAACCTACTTTGAAGTGTAGCAGTATGTATGTTAAATTGTTTTGTTTAGACACTCTGCTTTTAAGTATTTATCTCGACAAATTTTTCACATCGTTTATTTGTCCCAGGCAAAGTGCTGTGACTAGCTGTAAGCTACTGTCATTGAGCTGTGTGACAGCCTTTTAGAACTCAGGATCCTTACTGCATATTTAGTTCAGTAGTTAACATCTTAAAGGTATTTAATCAGTCTAATCGCTAATTTTTTTAATACAGTAATTTTTTGCTAATACAAACATGAGGAGGCACAAATCCAATGTATAGATTTTAATGTGAAAAAGTTTGCACAACATTAATATATAGCCAGAAATAGTCCCTGTGATTAATAGGGAATTGACTGTACTTTTTAGTACTACAACAATTTTAAACATGAATAGTATCAATTTCTGAAGACTAATGTTATTGCAATCTCTTTAGAAGCCTCACTGTCCTTAATCATGAGAACTATTTTTAATTGGTCTTATATGTGTTAAAATATATGAGAGAATACTGAATGTAAACTCATTTATATGAATCTGACAGTAGTACAAACTGAGAAACTTGGAAGGCCTACCAACATTTGCTGTAAAGAAAACCACAAAACTTCATGCAAAGACAATATATGCAAGTATATGTTTGTATTTAGGTGCATATCTTGCTACCAAATAAAGTCAATGAAGGATGCCCTGATGTTCCTGTAAGAGGTAGGAAGTAGTGTTGGAGATACAAATTACTCCTTTTTATTTTGATACTACCTTTTACATTTTTTTCAGAGATAACACCCTTTCAGTGTGAGGGTATTCAGAGCCTAGGAAGCAGGGCCAAATCATTACTTCCAGGAGATGCTACTGCAGCTTGGTTTTAAACATCTTTTCATTATTCACACTCTAAGACTTACTAATGGAAGTATCTGTTCATTGCTTAGACCTCCTGGGAGAAGGGCAAACTTCTTACGTGTTTCTTTGATCTCTCTCATTTTCTAAAAAAATTTGACGTAGTTTGTTCTTATGTTCTCTGGATCATTGTTGCTTCTTTAGGCTCCTGTATTGCTTTTAAAGCTTCTCTGGGTGTCAGGAGTCAGGTGAAGAAATGCCAAGGGCTATAAATTTGAGAGGTGCCATTTTAGAATTTGGAAAAGGGAAAGGTCTAGCTTCTAGAAGTCCTGAAAAAGCTCAATATTTGAGGGTGAAAGATGAGTTAGGTTGTAGTGTGCTGCTCTTGTGTTTATAGTGAAGGCTCAGTATTATTTCAACTTTTGCTCATAAATGTTTCCTAAATATTGAACTTAAGGAGAAGGGAGAATTTCCTGTATTTTATAGCTTATTGAGAGGACTAACTTTGAAAGATTACAGTTATTAGAAAACTGTTTCCCTTCCCATCCCTTTGTCCTGCAAACTGTGGCTTTTTCTCTCCTAGGAATTTTGAATTATTGGAGGTGAACATAACAGCTCTAGGCATTAGTTACTTTTAGTATAGTCTTTTGTTAAGTATTTTCTTTGGAAACATGAATCTTTTCATGATTTTAACTTGTTTAACTTTTTGTCCTTGTCTTGTCCTATTGATATGCACTTGGGGTTTACTCTCCATTTCTCCTTCTGTGCATTATGGGAGAGAGACTGCTTTTCTTCTCAATCTGTCTACATTAAGGCATCTGAATGCATGAATAGGTACCAATATTATTTTTTCCCTGTTGTGTGTATGGTGTACGTGTGCGCATGTGCTGTGTTTTAGGCTTTTTAGTATGCTGTAGTTGTCCTAATAGCTATTGCTTTAAAAAGAAAAAAAAAAGGGGGGGGGAAGAAAAGAACTGCTAGTTTCTGTGTCTGCTAGCAGTGACAGCTACAGAACATTGGCACAAAGCACCTTTCTTGCATATTAAACACACTACTAATAAATAACTGAAATAAATCTGAATTTTCCTTTAACCAGTTTTATATATTATGAACTTCAGAATGTCATGTTTGTTGATAATAACACACCATTCCCATTATCCCTTCTGAAGCTATGAATGTTTATGGCTGTGATAGCTTCAGTCTCTCAAGGGAGAATGGTATAACATACTTTGTGTTTTTATACTGTTTTCACCTACAGCCTCTTAGGCAATGCTTTCAGCTGTGTTCATCATGCACTGCTGAAAGAGAACCTGAGAGGCAAATGGGTTATGTTGCTCAGGACATACAGGTCAGTTAAGACAGACAGCTGTTAAATCCATTTGTTGATGTGGTACGCAGTCTCCGCAGTTAGTTACCCAAGGTTCTGGTTTTGTTCAGCAAGTATATAACCATGGATGGTAGGGTCCATGGATGGTAGGGTCCTACTGTGTCATCTGCAGCGGGGCATATGTAGTCTGCTTTTCTGCAGGAGTCACTTCACTTCTGAATTCTAGCATCATCTTCGGTGGGCTCAGCATGGTCTGTGAAGGAACCCCGTAGTCATAAGGTCTAGTGTTAAAATCACTGGTTTCCTTTACATCTGGAGCTGCCAATTTTTGGGCTTTTCTTACACTGGATGCTAACCGTAAATTGCAGTAAATTAAATGCTTCTAAATCATGTTTGTTTTGACTGTTTGTAACGGTCTCAAAATGGCAAAAAAAAAAAAAAAAAAACCAACCCAATAACAACAAAGAAAACCCAAACCCAAAGAACTCAACCAGACAAACATGAAAAAAATCCTTTCATTCCTAAATACCCAGTTGATCAGAGCTACTGTTTCATGTAAGTAAGTCCTATTTTCCAGTGTTAAGGTAGGCAGCTAATGGTGGGGAGGGAGAAATCTACTTGTATTCCCTTATCAGCCAACACTGTTGGGAAGCAGAGACTCTTCCTAGCAGGAGAGCCTTGGACTTCTCTATGCCACCTTTTCCTCCTCTTCCTTCTCCTCCTCCTTTTTCTAGCTGTCTGCAGTCTCATCCTTTCCACCACGGGCGTGATGGCAGGCCAGGCACTGACCCCCACGGAGACTGTATTACCACAGTTTTCAAAACAAACTGAGGCTTCCTTGCTTGAGGTGCATAAGGGAAAGGCCACTTTTCACACATTTGTAATAGAAAGGGAGCAAATTTTCCACAAAACTTAAAGTACTGTAATAACAAGAAAATATTTTGTTCTTTGGAGCTGTTGATACGAGTCTCTACAATTATGGTAATTTGGGAAATTCAGGGTAAACAACTGAAATGATAACATTTAGGGAGGGCTGCACTGGATTAGGTAGCCTGGGTTTTGTGAAAACTATTGCCGTGTTTCTGAAGCCAGCTGTGATTGTAGAGTGTTCTTTTTTAAATTTGGAATAATGAGAGGAAGAGGATTTCATCAAAATAAAAAGACCAGTCATTTAGGGATGATTTGTGAAATATGTCTAAACCTTTAAAAGATGTAGCCAAATTAAAAAGTTGAGATAATTTTTTTCCTTTTGAAAAAACCCCCTCTCAGCAGTGTTTCATGCGATTAGCTTTTGTGTGTGTTAGCAGATTTAGTTTTATAAAAAGCAATTTAAATTACTAATTTTGTTTTAATAACATTACAAGAGCTTTCAAGCCGACTATACTAATTTTTTTGGAAGGTAAGGAGACAAATCTCTCCCTACTAATCTGAAGCACATCTGTAAAGTAACTTTGAGGAAATACAGTCAAGTGTTTCAGAACTGATATGACTTAGTAATATCTATGCTATCGCTTATACAAATGGGGATGAGATTTGATTAAATTCAACTAGCCTAGAGTTACAAAGACATTCCTATTGAAGACATTTGAATATTGAATATATTTATAGAGGAATTGCCAAATACCTCTAGTTTGAGGTGGAATTTCATGGAGTATTTTGGTGTGCAGAGATACTTGTCAATATTTTATGTGCTGTGATAATTCTATCAGTATTACTAACTTTATCAGTAAGTCTTGTGATTTTGCAGCTAATATCGAGGTTCAAGTGCACGCTTTAACCAAAAGATCTTAACATGCATTGTAATCAGTTCTTAAATAAGCAGTTTAATTGCTTGAATTGTAAGATTTTTGTCTGTGTTATGTCTGAATAAATTGCTTTATTAAATGAGCTGGGAAAATTGGCTTGCTTACGCATGTCTCAGTGAGAATTTCTTTAATATGTTTTGTATGGTATCTATGGCAAATGAAATGTATCCGTTAAGAGAAAATGAAAACCTGAAATTTCCTACTATGAAAAACAGAAGTGCTGCACTTCTAGCTAATAGTGCAAGAAAGAGGTAGAGGAATTTCAGTAAAAATCAGAGTGCTATTTGAGTTTGCTGCACTACAGACTGTTTTGGCAGTATAATAATTTTACCCCAAATTCCAGAAAAAGTCAAAGAATCTGGAAAGTTATTTAAAGATATCGGAAAAAGTTAGAGTAAATTTGCTGGGGGGGGAACAAAAGGGCTGTCTGACTTTAACTTCTTTTCTTTTTTCTTCTTGCAGGCTGTTCATACAGGTATGCGGGCATATATTTATAATAAGAATTCTGTTACTGGCTCTCAGGCAGAGCATTCAGGGATGCGGACATACTACTTCAGTGCAGATACCCAAGAGGATATGAATGGCTGGATCCGGGCTATGAATCAAGCTGCTCTTATGCAAACACACTCTTCACTGAAGAGGCAAGTTCAATACACAAACTGTTAGCTTTTAAAAATTTGTTTAATGTGTTTTTATATATATGTTAAAAAAATGGTGATTTCTGAACATGATATTTGTAAATGTGTGCATGAAACTCATTCCTATTTAAAAGAAATAATTATTTTTAATTTACATTCTGTTGCAAATCAGTTAACTAACATTAATTAAGAAAACCTGGTGTTCACTATTTGAGTGTACACACAGATTGCGTGCCCATATTTAGTGACATGGATTAATTTCGGTATATATAATTTTTTAGGGAATTTCAGTTAAAAAGTTACAGGTTTTGTGAGTGAATTCATACACCTGCAACAGGCAGTTGACAGCCTTGAGCAGAGATAAGTAAAAGGGAAAAGAGAGAAGAGTAACAAGTTGTTTCAAATGAGTGTTTAGAACTAGGATTAAAATGCTGTTAAGAGGGAAAAGAATGTTAAAGATAAAGGGTAAATCATAAGCGCATAGTTATGGATATTAACTAATTTATACAAGTATTAACTGCTTATTTTTTTACTTACGTTGGTGGCCTTTAGTACTTGTAAGAGCTTTTTATGTTTTTCTCAGTGTAGAAAAAAAAGCACCGTGACAAAAGGAGGATGTCCTTTGTCACATTGTTCTTAATTAGTGCTAGAGGCAAGTGAATTCAGCTGTGCCTTCCTGTGCTTCCAGTTTTTCTCTTTTCTTAAAATTGGTGTAGCCTTCTTGATGTTTTGACTTTGGGAATTTCCCTACAGCTCCTTGTGAAAGAAGACTCTGTACTGTGAGACAGCCCCGTTTTTAGCCCTTGGGGCTGTGAGGATTAAAATGTCATAGTGCCATTTCTCACTGCTGCTTGCTTTTGGCAAATCAAACATAAGCAAAGGATTAACAGCTCTTCCAGACCTTTGCCTCCTATATGATTTTGTGTTAAGATTTTCTGTATTTAATTTAAATTTCAAATAACATGGGGGAGAGAATC